GGTTTCTGACTAGGCATACCCTTCAACACCACCTTATCATTATGCACCTTGAATTTCATGGTCAAGTGCTTGAAATTCCAGAAAATGGACCTCAAGGTACTCAACCATTGAATCCCTAAGACCATATCACAGCTTCCCAATGGAATCAGCATGACATCTGTAGTGTACTCTACCCTCCTAGTGTTAAGTAAACCTTCTACACAATTCTTGACACACTAGGTTATTCCTATCAGCCACCATAACTGATTGTCCTTCAATATCTTCACTCTTGTGGCCTAGTGATTCAACCATCTGTATATCCAAAAAGCTCTAAGTGCTTCCTAAATCAAACAGAGTATGCAGAGGAGTTGCATTCACCATAGCCTTAACTCTCATGGTATGGAAATTCTGACTTCTAGTCAAAGCACTCAAAGAAATACAAGGATCCAAGTCCTGAGTCTGTTTTTATTCTTTCAGCTCAAAACGTATGTATAGCAACATCAACTTCATCCAACCTACGTATTTCTACTGTAAATTATTGGGGTTCCTTAAACTAGCATTTGTGATTCTTGTCATAAAAAGGATCATATTAATAACATAGCCTTCTCATCTCTCACTTCTACAGGGAAATATTTGGTCGATTAATTTTTTTTTAGGGAAGGTGAGATGTATCATTTGTGGGGTAGGTAAGGTTGTTGTTGGTGGCAGGACTAGAAAAGGTTTTCTGGTAAGGGGTGTAGGTTTTGGGAGTTTTTTAAGGGTTAGTAGACATGGACTTATCTTGTAACCATGCAAGTCCTATTGTTGCAGTTAAAGAATGAGGTTTAAAGGCTCTAATGAATGGTCTAATCCCAGGTTTGAAACCACAAACGAAGCTTTCTAGCAAGTATTTTTCATGGAACACATAACTATTCTACAACATTACATCTCTTCAATTCTCAAATTCATCAACATAAGTCTCAATGGTACCAGTTTGACTCAACTTGTTAAATAAATCCTCTAAAACATTGACCCCTATTTCATCCTTAAATCTTCTATTAACATCAATCACAAAATCATTCCAATCAACAGTAGAACAGGTAGATAACTAACTAGTCACCCAGTTTTCAGCCTTATCGTCATGTTAAGTGAAGCGAAGTCTACTTTTTGTTCATTAGGAATTTTGTACATATTAATATACTTAGAGCATTTATTAATCCACATTCTAGGATTACTACCATTAATTTTAGGAAACACAATTTTAGGATTATATGGTTATTACCCCAGCTTTGGTTGCACACCACACTCATCAGCTCGAGTTATAGGAATATTATCCTTCATTGTTTGCATAATGCGCGTCATTTCATCAAATTTCTGGGTAGAAGCCAAAATCTGAGCCTCGAACTTCTTCTCCAGCTTTGCTAATTGCGTTTCCATTTTTTTAACCTAGTTGGTAACTGTTGGTGCCAAAATGATCCAGCAGCAGCATTAACTTGGCTCTGATACCACTGATAAGGTACATAATCCTTATCATATTTCTAATAACAAAATTCGAGCTCAAATTACAGAAAGGAAATACAGAAGATAAGAAGATTGAAGAAGGAGATGAGAATAACATAATAGAAAGAGAAAGAGGGGAAGATAATGAGATAGGGAGAAAAGGTAGTAATTGATTTCTTAATTAGCCAAATACAACACGACAAGCTTAATAAGAAAAATTGCAAAATAGAAAGATTCATTTCTAACAACCAAACTAAGGGAGAAAATGACTAAAGCAAAAGCATTAACAAACTTAAGCCTAACAAACTTTCCCGCCAAAAATATAACAGTATTTCCTTAATTGCATTCATAATGTAACATTTAGTTAGAGAATTTATTATTGGATCCTTTGAAAATATTATCATCTATTTCTCAACCCAATCTCGAAGCAAATATGGATCAAGAAAAAATGTATCTTGCTCAAGCGGACAAATCTATGCATGAATGAAGATTAATTATTTTTTTAGACTTTACTTAACTATCTTTGTAATACATATTACGCAGAGCATATCAAATTATCAATGCAATATAGTTCAACCATAACTTTTAAAATAAAATGATATAGAATTAGGGACATTGTCTTTTCAAAGTTCAAATTAAACACCGTTTGACAGCGATTGGTGTGGGCTATGCAGTTCGTGGCACGACGTGTGTTATACAAATGCAGTTGCTATAGATTGGTTAGTTAATGTGTCCCAGTGGCTGGCGATTGGTATAGATCTAAGCTAGAGTAATAAATAAGAGAAATGAATGTAGAATGGTAGATGGATGATCAAATCAATAAAAAAAAGATAATATTCATTTCCTAACAAATGTAATTTTGAAAAATCAATTTTAAAAAAAACCTCACAAAATGGGTAAGCAGGTCGGGTTTGGTCCACAAATATACGAGTTATATGATTTTAGGCAAATTTGGGTTTCAGGTAAAATAAAATTGTTCAAAACTAAAAAAAATATGTCGAGGTCAAAATTTGATAGCCTTACCTCTTAAGTCTTAATTATGTGCTCGCGATGCGTGCAAGTAAATTAGATTTTCACTATCAATTTGATCCACATCAATAACTAATTAAACTATGATCTTGATATTCAACATAATTGTAAACTTTGAAAATATATGTTAAAAATTTTAAATATCATGCTAACAAATACTTCCTCCATTCAATATTGCAACCTTTCCCTATTCACAAATGTTTTCTCTATTTCTATCCCCTCATCACGTGAGCCCCTATCTTTATTCCTCTTTATCTCTCTCCTCTTCTTAAAACTCGTGTCCCCGGCCACTTGAAAAACCGTACTCTAGAAATTTTCTCCTTTTGAAATACATGTTTGGCCCTTTTTAAAATGTAAAATAGGAAATAACTAAGTGTAGGGAATATTTCAAGCATCCAACATTTGAGCCCCACTGTGATCGTACACTTAAACATGGTGGCATCCAAAGGGAAGGTTACACCCCTTAACGATCCATAAGATCGTTAACTCCAATAGGTTTGGAACATAACCATGACTGGACATTCGGGGATGAAGGTACAACTCCAACCTAAAAGAGATTGAACTTGCCCTTATAATAGGCCTCTACTTTATTCTTTTCGTATTCATGTGCGCTTTCTGACTAACATGTAATCAATAGGTTTACCCTAAACCTATTTAATATATGTTGGTTGAATATTAATGCACAAACAAATCTATTATTGGCGATAACTTGAATTATAATCATATTAGCCTAAACAAGATTATTAATTATCTTATTAAGCATGATTACAAGTACAAATTCCCTTTAAATATGTATAAAAGGCGTCATCAAGCAATAACAATAATACGAAGTAATGTATATCAAGCAACATAAAAATAACAACCATCATCATAATAATAATATTCTCAATCTCATCAAAGCATAATAATTTTAGCAAGATCCTATGCATGATACCAACAAGATTAATAACAAATCCTAGCATGTCACTAAACATTAAATATAAAAGTTTTATCCCTAACATGATACTAACATGATATTAGGAAAATAGGAAGCAACCTAAACATGATACTAGAAACATACATGATATTAGAAATCGTAGTTATTACCCTAAACATGATACTAGGAATTAATATAATCAAAGCATGATTTCTATATCAAAAGAATAATTAGAGCAATTAAATAACTTACTTGTATGCCTCGTATCTCTTTCTAATAATAAAATACACGCGTTAGTAACTTCAAGGAAAATATTAAATTAAACAATTAAACTAAATAATTGAAATAGAGATTTAGGACCAAACCCTCAAAAATTATCAACCTTTCACGTCTAGGGCGAAGGCAACTTCGAACTTGTCTAGGTGTGTCTAGAACTCGTGAATGTGGAATTTTGCAAAAGGGGGAAGGTTTAGAAAGAGGGAGAAAGAATAAGCTTTTATTTCTTGCATGCCATAGTCCCGTTTTTCATTCATAATTTCCTCTATTTGTTTAAGATATCTTGCATGCCATAGAGGATTTTGTCTTCCTTTATTGTTCATTGATATCTTGTGTTTGATATATGATTTCCTCTTTTGTTTTTTAACGATATCCTGTAATGTTTTTCAGATATTTTTCCATATTAATAAGCACAATCATTATGTAAATATTGTTGTCAATACTATTGGAAATAAGAAAAGAAGACCTGTAGTTGAGTTCATTGCGCACTACAAGAAAATAACCTTTTCGTAGCGATTATTTTAACCTTTATTATCGATTTTCATTGCAACAAAAAAGCTTTTCCAATGAATGGTCATTCGATACAATATCCCTCATTGCCTTAGCCTTTAATAGTGGTTTTTTAATATCGATGGGGTTGGCCTCAATAATCGATATGAAAAACTACATCCAATCGTGGTGATTATTGTAGCAATTATAATCGCTATAAATGTTGAACTCATTTTCTTAAAAAAAAAATAAATAAAAAAATAAAAAATCATACATATGATCTTTACAAGATTCGAACATGCAACCTCCAACTCTTATATTAAATGTTTCACCAATAACCTATGACATATTTTATGTATTATTTGTCAAAAAATATTTATATATCAAGTGTAGAAAAGGCTTTTCGTATCGATTTTTGGGATTTAGTGGTGATTGTAAATGATACGATTTCTCATAATTTTATTAATGTACAAAAATAGTGTGGGTATGTATTATTATGTTTTCCGTATTGATTTTATATGGGAAAACCATGGCGATTGTAAAATGATACGATTTCCTTAATTATTTCACAAACATACTTGCATATTGTAGCGAATGTACAATCGCTACAAAATAATCGCTACGAAAAGACAATTTTCTTGTAGTTGACAACCGAAGGGATAAACTTGTAAAATTTAAGAATAGAGATAATCTGTTGGTAAGTTTTTATTTTTTGTTTCATATAGATAATATGTTTTATCTTCCATTTTTAACTTCAATATTTAATTATTCTTGTAGATTGATGTTGTACATTCATATGGTGGAAAAATATTTAAACATCCTATTTTGTTTAATCTTACTACATGGGGTGACAATAAATATCTTAATTTCAAATGGAGGTAAACCAAAGAAGTAGAAGATTGTGGTCTGTACTTAATCAAAGTTATGGAGTTATATAATGGTGACTGCGATGAAACTCTATCAGAATTAAATTCGATAATATATTATTTTGATTATATCTTTTATTGTGTTGATGATGTCCTATATTGTTTTGATTATATCTTTTATATTGTTGATGATGTCTTTTATCGCATAAATCATGCCCTCTATTCTTTTTATTATATCTTTTATGCTGTTGATGATGTCTTATATCGCATTAATGATGTCTTCTATTCTTTTAATTATATATTTTTTTCTTTTTATTATTTCTTTTATTCTATTGATGATGTTCTTTATCTCGTAAAAAATTTCCTATATTATATTGATGATATCTTGTAAATGTTTATATGATTTCCTCTTTTATTGTCCATATTTTATAATTGTTTTGATGATTTCACTAGTGGAAAAAAGTCTATTTGTAACGGCTTAATTGTAACGGGCATGTTGTTGCCCGTTACAATAACATCATTCGTAACGGGCAATATTAAGGTCCGTTACAAAAAAAATTCAATCCGCGTAAAAAATGAGTATTTGTAACGGGCAATTACCGACAGTTACAAATACTAAGTTATTCGTAAGGACATTTGTAACTGACTTAAAATGTCCGTTACGATTAAATGTTCAAAATTAATAACCCTAAAAAATTTTCAAACCCTAAAAACTTTTCAATCCCCTTTTTTCATTTTCCCTCCCTCATACTCGATCTGTTCCCCATTATTGAAGCGCAATCTCATCTTCTTGCAAGCTCCTTCGCCGATCCTCTGTTTCTCCGTCGCCGGGCCTCGTCTCTTCTCCCTTTCTCCTTGCAAGCTCCGGTGGTCGCCTCTTTTTTTTCATCCCTTCTCCATCCCTTTCTCCCTTGCGAGCTCCGGTCGTTTTCTCCTCGCAATTTCCGCCGTTTGCTCCGGTGGTTTTCTCCGGTCGTTTTAATTGATTGGGACGGTCGTTTTCTCCGGTCTCCTTTGCAAGATCTCTTCTCGAAACTCAAGAATCCAGGTATTTTTTTTTCTTTTTTCTTTTTTGAATTTGAATTTGAATTTGAGCTTGAGTTTTTTTATTTTGTTTGTTATGAATTCGAGTGGATTTTTGGATAATTGATGTTGATTTTAGAAGTGGGGAGCCGAGGTGATACTGTGAAGTGGGAAAGTTGGAATTCTTAATTTTATATATTTGTTTGTGAATTATTATATAATAATGAATAAAGAAAGGGTTAATTTGTTTAAGGTTGTTGATTATTGAAATTATCATGTTGATGAAATTTTCTGTTTATTATATAATATAGCTGGTGATGATTGTTGTGAGCTGTATTTGAGGATCACCTGGGTTTTATTGTGATGTTGCAATGATTATATCTGTCTTTGGATTCTCGTATTTGAGGTTCAATTGGGTTTTATTGTGATCTTGCAATGATCGCCATCGAATCCATGCTGTTTATGGCTAGCTAGGCAATGCTTAGGAACAGAATTATTGTTTCTTACGGAGTAAAATCTGTTGGGATTTTAGCATCTGCTATATGACTATATCGTCGTAAAGATTTGAGGATATAATGAGTTTGTAGGTAGCCATAGTTTAATGAAAGGGATTTAGGTTACTTGTCTCCTTTTTTTCATTCTAGTTGAATTATAAAAAATTTGCTTCTTTTGTAGAAAATAATTTTCTCATTGTATGGTAAATGAAAGCCTGCGAACGGCTTGGGATTCTTTTCTTACAAACAATTTTGAGGCTTCAGGCAATTTTTCTCCTTTTTTTTTGCTGATGTATTGATGTACCAAAGATGAGAGCTATAACTGCTTGATATTTATGTACGAATTCCTAAGAATTAGAGGTAGAGGTGAATATTTTTCTCGCATTTTGAAATTTTGAAGTATGTTGTACTTTATATAGATACTTTTAGTGTATAGTTTCATGGTTGGTCTATTTTATTGTATGTGCATAATTTATTTGCATCAAATATCAAATTTTCTTTGTTAGGTAAATAACTCATGTTTATGTGTTTGGTTACTTTTATTTGACATGATTGATCTTGAATGTGTTAATATTTATTATGCATTATATCTTCATATGCCTAGATACCCGTTCAAGATTTACTCATTAGGAATAAATCTTGAATAGTCCCCATTTGGGACTGTTCTTAGAATTGTATTCTCACTTAGGATGTAAATGGTTGCTTGTTTTTCGGAAGTAAAGGTAATTTTGTGTTAGCATTCCCTAATGTGTTCTCGGGGTACATATGTAATTAAGAAATTAATTACATCGTGTACTCTGAAAACCATAGGGAAATGCTGCCGAAATTTCCTTAGGGCCGAAAAATGGTCAACCATTTGCTAGTGAGAATACACTTCCAACGATGGGTTAGGTTGGAGCGATAAGTACCTTTGGAATCATGCATTCGGAATGTGTTGATATGTGATGTTGAATATAATTTGTTTCTTGGGTTTTAATCATACATTTTTAGAAATGGACCGTCGTTGGATGTATAATGGTTCTCGAACCACACCAGAATACTTAGCCGGGGTCAACGAGTTCGGTAGAATCGCAGTGCAACACTAGTGGAGTACACTCGTTGAACAAAGGCTAACCAAAGCAAGACCTATTTTTTGCCCTTGTCGTGATTGTAACAATGTGAAGAGGTAGGAAGACATTAAGAAAATAGAGGACCATTTGATTATTCGTGGGTTTATGCCAGACTATAGTATTTGGTATTGGCATGGTGAAAAATTTCCTCCCGCGGATAATTCTTCTATTAACGACAATGAAGCTAATGAGAGAGAGCCGAATGGTTTTGATGATAATGAAGTGGGTTTTAATGATGACATGGAGGAAGACAGAATAGAAGAGATGATAGACGGGTTAGGCGATCATGTTAATGAAGATTCTCATATATATGAGAATGTGTCGAAAGCAGCTGAGACACCGTTGTATCCTGGTTGTTCTAAGTATTCCAAGCTTTTTGGGATTTTAACTTTATATAACTTGAAAGCGAAGAGCGGGTGGACCAACACTAGTTTCACTTTGTTGTTAGAAACCCTCTCTAATATGTTTCCAGAAGGAAATGACATTCCTAAGTCGACTTACTATGCGAAGAAGTTGATGTGTCCATTGGGTTTAGAGTACACCAAGATCCATGCATGTCCTAATGATTGTGTGCTATATCGAAAGGAGAATGCAAAATTGGATGCTTGCCCAAAGTGTGGTGTGTCACGATACAAGCGAGAGGGCTTAAATAAGGATCCCTTGAAGTGGCCACCAGCTAAGGTAGTATGGTACCTTCTTATAATACCAAGGTTGAAGCGCCTGTTCTCAATTAAGGATGAAGTAAAGAAGTTGGTTTGGCATGAAAATGAGAAGAAGTCTAACATTCAAAAAATAAACAAGTTACATAATATATATGACATAATGAAAAAAAAAACATATGATAATTAATCATTATACTACAAAAATAAGGCTCATAAAATAATGAATCTATCAAAAATAACATAAGTACTCACCAATTTGAATATAACAGAACAAAACATCACTATAAAGATTGAACAAAACATCACCAATTTGAATGGAATCAATTCGAACATAATAACCCAGAGATAACTCAAAATTCCCAATTTGAACATAATAAATTAATAACTCAATTTCACAATTCGAACAAAATAAATTAATTTCCCAGAAATAACTCAAAATTCCTAATTCGAACATAATTCAAATTCCCAATTCAAAAAAACAAATGAAAGAGGAAAAGAGGAGTAAATTATAAAATCCTTACCTTTGAGTGACTGAGAGAGGTGGTGGCGACAGAAGGTGGTGGCGCGTCGCGGATTGAGGGAGTACGAAGTCTACGAACACCAGATCTGAAGAAAGGAACTGATATTCGACCAAGGAGACAATATACGGTGGCCAGAGTGAGATACGGTGGTGAGATACAATGGTCGGAGTGAAGGAAATGAAGGGTTTTGGTGAGGAAGTAGAAGAATTGAGGAGTGAAGGGGGCCGAAAGTCAGAAAAATGAAGGAGAAAATTAGGGTTTGCTATATATATGTAGGGGAATTGGGTTGGAATCTATATGGGCTTTAAACATTTCGGTTTGGATTTTGGTTTTCGGTTTTTTAGGACCCAGAACCGAATCCAAACCGAAATAATTCGGTTTCAATATTTTGGAACCGAATCCAAACCGAAAACCGAAAAAACCGAACCGAATTTCTAGTTCGGTTTGGTTTGGATCGGTTTTCGGTTTTTATCCAAACTACTTTCACCCCTAGATCAGACACACAGCTGATTCGTTGCAATGGAAAGACATTGACAAGACATTTCCAGAATTCGGGAAGGAGCCGAGGAACATAAGCCGGGTAGAAGTCCCTTAGGCAATTTTGAAGCCTTTTTGGCTCTATACGCTCCTAAAAGTGAGTAAATGGTCAATTTTCATTGATTTCAATTCATAGAAACCAAAATATAAGGTAATTAAGGATGTTTAGTATTATATTGTGCTAATTTGAACCAATGCATGGAAGATGGGAAAGGTAGAAGTCCCTTAGGCAATTTTGAAGCCTTTTTGGCTCTATACGCTCCTAAAAGTGAGTAAATGGTCAAGTTTCATTGATTTCAATTCATAGAAACCAAAATATAAGGTAATTAAGGATTTTAAGTATTATATTGTGTTAATTTGAACCAATACATGAAAGATGGGAAAGGTAGAAGTCCCTTAGGAAATTTTGAAGCCTTTTTGGCTCTATACGCTCCTAAAAGTTAGTAAATGGTCAATTTTCATTGATTTCAATTCTTAGAAACCAAAATATAAGGTAATTAAGGATGTTATGTGTTATACTGTGTTAATTTGAACAAATACTTGAAAGATGGGAAAGGTAGAAGTCCCTTAGGCAATTTTGAAGCCTTTTTGGCCTTATACGCTCCTAAAAGTGAGTAAATGGTCACTTTTCATTGATTTCAATTTATAGAAACCAAAATATAAGGTAATTAAGTATTTTATATGTTATATTGTGTTAATTTGAACAAATACTTGAAAGATAGGAAAGGTAGAAGTCCTTTAGACAATTTTGAAGCGTTTTTGGCTCTATACGCTCCCAAGAGTGAGATAATGGTCAATTTTCATTGATTTCAATGCATAAAAATCAAAATATAAGGTAATTAAGGATTTTTAGTATTATATTGTGTTAATTTGAACCAATACATGAAAGATGGGAAAGGTAGAAGTCCCTTAGGCAATTTTGAAGCCTTTTTAGCTCTATACGTTACTAAAAGTGAGTAAATGGTCAATTTTCGTTGATTTCAATTCATAGAAACCAAAATATAAGGTAATTAAGGATGTTATGTGTTATATTGTGTTAATTTGAACAAATACTTGAAAGATGGGAAAGGTAGAAGTCCCTTAGGCAATTTTGAAGCCTTTTTGGCTCTATACGCTCCCAAAAGTGAGTAAATGTTCACTTTTTTTATTGATTTCTACTCATAGAAATCAAAATATAAGTCAATTAAGGATGTCAAGTGTTTTTTTTCTATATTATGAGTTTTATTTCTATAATTTGGTTCATCACATTTATTCTAATGATTGTTTTTATTATGGATTGTTTTTATTTTGTAACCTCTTTCATATGTTTTTTTTTCAATAGGATTTTTGTCCAAGGACAACCCTGTATGATGTTGACGAGTTGAATGTGGTTCGAGAACAGTGGGCGCAATACTTTAGAAGTAAATATTTATTGAATGCATAACTATTAGCTTAGGTAGAACAATGTAATATTTTTAGTGTTGTTGTATATGTTGGATAAATTTATACAAGTTTTTATTTGTAATGTGTTACTACTTCAGTTTTTATATTACGTCGTATTAATTTTTATGAAAGATTGTTCGGTATAATTGCTTATTTACAGAAACAGGTTTATTATAACAGGTTTTAATTAATATATATTAATTATATATAAATACATGCTGTCGAAATTAAATAAAATGAAATTTTAATTTAATAATTATTTGTAACGGGCAGCAGAATTGTCAGTTACAAATAACCAGTTATTCGTAACGGGCATTTTTGTTGCCCGTTACAAATAAGTGTTAAATTATATACAATAAAACTTTATTCGTAACGGACATTTAAGATGTCAGTTGCGAATAATCACTTATTCGTAACGGGCGTTTTAGGTGCCTGTTTCGAATAAGGACTTATTTTAATACAAAAAAGGATTTATTTGTAACAGACATTTCAGATGTCCGTTACGAATAACCCCTTATTCGTAACTAACATTTCAAATGTCCGTTATGAATAACCCCTTATTCGTAACTAATATTTTAAATGTCCGTTACGAATAATGGGTTATTCGTAACGGACATTTGAAATGTCAGTTACGAATAATGGGTTATTCGTAACGGACATTTGAAATGTCCGTTACGAATAAATCATTATTCGTAACGAACAGTGCCCGTTACGAATAACAATGGTCATCCGTAACGGTCGCATACGTAACGGACGTTGTCCGTTACGAATGGGCCCTTTTTGCCCGTTACGGATGACGTTTTTTCCACTAGTGTTTCCTCTATTCTTGAACATTATATCTTTTATTGCTGTAGATGATATCATATTGAGTTAAACTATGTGTGGATTTCATTATCTGATTTGAGGATATAGTTTATATTTTCTTATATTTTTGTTTCTTTTTTTTCTTTTGTAGAAAGTCAATAGGAAGATTTTTAGGTGTAAACTGGCATTGGACTTGGTACTTAGCCCTAAGAACATCTTTTCTAATGATATTCGAATGGATTGTGTAAAATTTTGTCTAAACAAAAAAGAAATTCTTGCGAAGTAGAAAATTAGGAAGAAAGAGGAAGAACTGTTTTACGCTGAACAAGCAAGAATAGAAAGAGAAGCACAACCTTTGGTTGCTAAACTTAGTAAACAACATAAACAAGAATCAAACCAATATGTAAATTTGTTTATATATATATATATATATATGAACATATGTTTTCAATTGAAATTATATTACATTTTTACATATAAATTATATGTTTTAATTGTTTGAGGATATCATTTGTTTAAATATCATATGATTGTTTTGTTACATATGTTGATATTCTTATTACACTTATTTAAACCTTATTATAAAATTTAATAAATGTGTCTTTTACAGAATATTAGTAAACCAATATAGGATATATTTTATTAATTGAGTATACCATAAATCTCTTGAAGTATATCAGTTATACATTTGAGGATATGTAACGTATGTAAGAAGATATGATATATTTCTTGGAGGGTATGTATTTTATGTTAAAGAATGTGTCAGATAATTAGAAGGATATATATTATCTTGCTTTATGATATGATAAATACGATATAGAATATGTATGATATCAATTTTAATATAGAGGATATGTAATTCATTATTTCTTACATATATTGTAGTATACATCATATAAATAATAGTATAAAGGACAAATAGCCACAAATTCAAATATATTAAAATATAATAGAAATATTTTTCCAAAATATTTAAATTAGTTGTGGATTAGAAGTTTTTGTTCCAAATTCATTAACATGTCTAGTAGTTGTCTTTCGCTTCTCAAAGTGACCTCTGATTCTCTTGTTTCTTTCAGGTGGCCTTACTTTTGTTTTTGGTCGTAAAGGATCAGGTACTGTTTTTCTACTTTCTTCTTCTTCGTTGATTTTCTTGATCTTTTCCTCATCAGATTGAAATGCTTTCTTAACTGCCTTATACATCTTGTCAAGAGATTCATCACACACTTTTTTAGCATCATCGTTTGTTTGGAACATGCATACTAAATTGTAGAAATTTCTTGCAATAGTGTGTCTCCATGGAGTATCTAGAATTGTAGCAACTTCTTCAACATTTCCTGAAAATTTTTTAAATAGCATTTTAGTAATGAAATTAATTTTTTTTGTTATTAATACATTATACTTTATTGAACATACCTTCTTTGTCTTCCCAAATTGAAGCTTTTACATTTTTTGTCCTTATTTTCATAATATATTGTGGAGGTATGGTGAATACATTACGCATATGCATTACTCTAAGTATATGATAACAAATTATACCTGTTGCATTGAAACATAAGTGATACAAAATACAAAACATCATCAACAGAATATAAACTAAAAACAAAATAAGAATCTGTAGCATAATAATTGTAAAATTAAATAGGAGTACGGTTTATAAATAATAAAATATAACATATCATAAGAAGAACATAGTACATGTGTTATAAAATAGAGTATATAATGAAGACAATAGAAGACATCAGTAAAAGTATCACAAAATTTCGCAAATTCTATAGAGGACATCATTCATTAAATAAAAGACATCATCATCACAATATAAGAAATCAATTATTAGATACAGAATATTATCTAGACAATAGAGGACATAATGATAATTCTGGAATTAAAATATAACTGTTTCATTAAAACATAAGTAGGAACATGCAAATTCCTTCAGACTATCACTGTAAAACACACTGCTATTGTGTTTGAAATCCTCATTCAAAGAAACTTGAAACATCTTTAGACCAGCTGTCATTTGATTTGACACATTTCTAACATACGATCTCATACTTGTCTCATGTTCGTCTTCAAAGTCATTACAAATGTTGAGAGTGTATATTTCAGCAGCCTATTTTAAGAGTTTGCATTTTGTCTTTGGCTTTTCTGTTTTACATATGAAATTATCTGCCTTTTCATTGCTTCTCCACCTTTCAATTGTAGCTTCAAATATATGAAAGAATTCATATGATGAAGTTATTTTGTTAGCCTTGAAAGATATTTCTCTATTATTAATTTCAGATCTTTGGGAAGACAAAATTCCAGCTGAAAAAATATCTTTGCTAAACACAGGACACCATTTCTCTTTTAAATTATACAGTCTGTCAAACCATTCTTTCTCTTCTAATCCATACTTTTAAATAATATCATTTCAACATTTATGAAATTCTTCCTCATCATCACAACCATATAAGCATTTGTCAAACATGTTTTTAAAATCTTCATTGCTTTTCAGCTGGCCAAATATTGATACAATGTTTTTTTGGAGATGCCACAAACATAACCTATGTCTTGTCTTTGGAAGAACCTGAAATTTTGATAAAATTATAACCATAAATTATATGGTTTTATAATATAACACTTAGTTTATAAGTTAATATAAATCTATAAGAGGATACCATTCAGTCTTTTCATGATATTATTTACTATTAAGAAAATATCACCTAGTATTTGGAGGATATAATCTACTCCTTTTATGATATAATTCATTCAACATAAAATATCACCTAGTATTTGGAGGATTATATATATGATCTTTTGAGAATATCTTACCTTTCCATTGCATTGCTCATTGCTTGATCTTGATCAGTGAGAATTATCTTTGGTTCTGCTCCTGCCATTGACTTTTTGAAAGTTTCAAGTACCCATTCAAAATTTTCTGTAGTTTCATTAGTTATAAAAGCACACCTAAACATTTTTGTTCTCCAATGATTGTTTACTCTAACAAATTGTGCACATATTAAACCATATTTTTTGGTCTATATGTGGTATCAAATATTAATACATCTCCAAATGCTTTAAAATCTTCCAACATCATTGAATCACGCCAAAAATAGCTCACTATATGATCAGTTTCACCAAACTTTAATCTGTAAAAGAAAGAAGAATCTGATTCTACTCTTTGTTGTAGTGTGTCCAATACACTTGCATATCTCCTCCTTCAATTATGCTAGATTTGTACCTAGTTACATAGTTTAATAGATCTCTCTTTGTGTGACCTAAAGCTTCCTCTGATCCTACTTCTCTTTTAAGGTATTCATAACAGTCCATTGGTTTAATTCCACTATCTACCATCTTTTCAATCACCAATCCAATCTCTTCTTTAACACTTCTTTCAGATTTCAAGTGATGTCTTTCTGAAGGATAAACCAATTCATGATTGTGTTTAATATTGTGTTGAACAACACAATATTCTCCATATTCTGTCTTGTTGAATCTAATATTAGCTCTACAACCAGTTCTGGTCTCATTAATACTCCTCTCTTTTCTTTTCTTTGATGACTCTTTTTCCTCAGTTATGAATTCTGAATTTGCTATCTCCTTTTCTTTTTTCTTTCTCTTTCTTCTATGACCTTCTTTTGAGCAGAAAAAATAAAAATCAGATATTATCCCATCTGTTTTATTTCGCCTGAGAGTATTTTTTTTTCTTACACTGAATCCAATAGCTCTTGTATGAGCTTTATACATAGGCAATGCATCTTCACGATTATCAACAAGTCTTCCCGCCAAAGATAACTTGATATTTTCATCATTATCATATTTATAATAATCCAAATCTGCAATTTGAAAATGTTAACACTAATTATATCCTCTATGTAATTAATCATATCTTCTATGCTATTAATGATATCCTCTATCTTACACAACATATCCTCATTTAATGTGAATAATATCCTCTATTTAACGCAGCATATCCTCATTTAATGTGAATAATATCCTCTTTTTAATATATGATATCCTCTATTGTGTATATAAAATCCTTTATTCTATATATTATATCCTCTATTCAGTGTAATATATTTCTAGTGTTGACATTCTTTTTTTTATTTTATTACATAGTCATTCGTATTTATGATATCATTATCATAATTTAGGTTATCATGTATTATTTGTGCTATAATGTTCATCAATAATGATCTATTTTTTACTTAAATTTTTTTCTCAAATTACAATGACCTATTTTTTACCCTGATTTTTTACTTTTATATATTTTGAAATGTATATGAACATTACAATACATTCATTAACAGAATTTTAAGCAATAAATTTATATTACAATACCTATTTTTTTTAGATGTTACAGTAGATTCATTAGGAGAACTTGTTGATGCTTTTCCATTATCATTCTTTGCTTGTTGAACATTTGATTGAATTTCTAGGCCATTCGTTTCATGTTCTTCGATCGAGCTTCTACAATTTTTTGATGTTGATGTAGAAAAATTGGGTGAAATTGGTTGATTTTAATTTGTTGATATTTTTTGCATTTTGTTCACATTTGCTGATTTTTCTTCTATCGATATTGCACTTTTTTGTTGATTTTTTAACAAAAATGAGTATAAGTGTGAAAACCAAGGTTATACATATATATACATATATGTATATATATATATACATATATATATGTATATATATATATATATGTATATATATATATTTATATATATGTATATATATATATATACATATATATACATATATATATATATATATATATATATATATACATATATCTGTATATATATATATGTATAATATGTATATATATACAGATATATGTATATACATATATATACTATATGTATAATATGTATATATATATATATTTTTTTGTTCTTAATTAACTTTTTTTTTTGTTAGTTAGAGGCCAAAATATATAATACTTTGTTTTTTGAGGAAAGAATATATAATACTTTATTTGGTATTATATGTTTAAGAAATAATTTTTTATTAATTTTAAAAATATAATACATAGTATTTGTTTTAATATTTGTTATAAATACATTTAAGTTGAGATTTATTTGTTTGATTTATCAAATAATTTGTTTTACCCTATTGAGGATATAATATATCAGTTCAAGCATATACAATATCCTAAGGTAGATATGATATTTTCATGTAATGACTTATTTTTCTCTATCGAAAATATTCTGCACATATATAAGGCTATGATATAAATCTCTGATTATTTGTTTTACTTTATTGAGGATATAATTTATTTATATATGAATTCATTATTCGAATTGAGGATATGATATGCTATAGCTTAATTTAATTTGAGGATACACTGTTAAAAAGTAGGATATGATTTGTATGTTTGAGGTTGAATTTTTCTTAATTGAGGAAATGCTTAAAACACCATATTTTATCTATCAAACTATTCTACAAAACTTGATAATATCTTCCAATGTTTAATATTTAAAACTAGTGAGTAGCTCGGGCGTTGCCCCGAGTTACTACGTACTGTTGTAGACGTTCAATCGATAATTAAGTCTTTTTGAAAATTGTAGCTGTCATGGTCAAACTAAAATTAAGTTTTTTTTAGTATATTCTATTTTAATTGAACCTTGTGGTTTGCACTTATATATTGTTTTTTACATATTAATAACATATTTGATAATTGGCTAAGATGGTGAAATGGTTATTGTTGGTATACAAGGTGGAGGGTTCGATCCTCCTTATTGTTTTTAAATTCAATATAATTTTGGTCGCTTGGGTGATGTTGTTGTTTGAATGATGATGTGGCATCATAAGATATTGAAAAGATGACGTGGCACAACAAAAAGGACTACGTGGCACATCGACGTTCTTAGGAACGCCTTTTAATATATAAAAATAATATAGTCTTAAAATAAAAACTTTAATATTTAATACATCAAAATAACATTTATTCATTTTTCAGAATATAAAAAATTGAAAATACATAAAAAAAAATTAAGTTTTAATCATATTCTTATTCTTACAAGATTTCAAGAACATACTATGACATTGTTATTACATTTTCCATAATTTTTCTACCCAAAACAAAATATTTTATATATTTGAAACTACAGGACAAACCTCTACAAATAACACCTTCTCTTTTCCTAATTCTCTAACACATCCCACCTTTTAAAGATGGGATGTGTTAGAAATTTTGAAAATTGAGAAGGTATTGTTTATAGGGGTTTGTCCTGTAGGTTCAAAAGTAAAAGATGTTGGGTTTAGGTTGAAGAAATTACAGAAATGCAGTCACCATTTCCTAGTGTGCTCTCAAAATCAGATAAAAAGAAGAGATATAATTATGGATCTACTTTGAGGATTGTGCAACCACCCTCTTCTTCTTCTGCATGTCCTCCGATGAAATATCTCCAAAAGCCTCTGTACCAGCTTCAATATCATCTTTCCATGTTTTCTTCTTTTTATCTTTTACAGGATTTTCAATCTTGTTCACTTCTTTTGTTAATTAAATACAAAGTTTTTCCTCACCATTGCATCGATCAATTGCTCCCTGTAATTTACCTTTTAGAAAACCTAATTGACTTTCCATTGATTTTATATCGATTTCTTCATTATCAATTGAATCGTACTTTTTTTGTGTGATGATTTTTTTGTTTTTCCATGTGTACTTTTTTTTAGAACATTTAGATTAAGGGTTTTCTAAATAGAAGCAAAAAGAAAGAATATTGAAGGAAAGTTTAGATTTGCATAGATGAAAGCAAAGTGTACTATATATAGGAGGACGTCAAGTTTTAGGTTTAGGTTTTTTATTTTTATTTTTTTTAAATATTGTGTCGCTTGGTTGATGATAAGAATCTTTGAATAATATTAATATTTTATTGAAGATATTTTTTTAAGTAATTATATTTTATTTAAGATATTTTTAATAATTTGTACCTTGAATAAAAAGATAAGAATGATATCTTCTGTATACTTAAATATTTCATTTATGTAATTATATCCTCCGTCCTCATAGTTATGTCCTTAGTTCATATATTTTTATTTGTAGACACCTAAAAAGTCTCCCCAAAACAAAACCTGATGATGAATAACCTTTCACCGCCACTATTGGTCGCGTTCAGTATTTAATCCCGAGAGTGCTTAAAAAATCGTATTTAATTAAATTTAACTTTTCAATAATCCATGGATCAGTCTTGATGTTTAGTCAAAGCATAGTTTTTTTAATTTCAACCCAAACCTTTTTTTTATTTTATTGTTTTATTATTTAATTTGGCCCAAACCTTTTATTTATTTTATTTACTTATTTTCTTATTTTAGCCCAAATAATAATAAATTAGAAATGGTCGGAAATTATCAATCGGCACTTAAAATGCTGAACGAAATTAGGGTTAAAAATGAAATTATACGGAAAAACGGGCTAAAATCTCCTGCGTCACGACATTATTCTAGCGTGTCACGGGAAACTCTCTCGTCTGACGGTGGGATTCCCCGTGACACGGGACACCCGATGTGACACGGGAGTTTCCGTGTCCTTTCCGCGTAAACCCTTAACGCGTTTTCTCCCCCGTTCACTAAATATTTCCTGCGTCACACAACAGTACACCGTGCCACGGAAATGTTCCCCGTCTGACGGTGGGATTTCCCGTGTCACGGTACACTTTGCTGTGTCGTGGTATTTTTTTAGGGTTTTTTTCTTTTTAGGGTTCTGTGTGTTCCCTCAACACATTTTTTATATAAATACCCCCTCATTTCTGATGTACGGGGCATGAATTAATTCTCTATTATTTTATCTCTTCTATGCTCTTGTCTAAACACTAGCCTACCCTATTCTTTCAAAATTCTTCTTCAAGCACTCCAAGGAGCCCATACTTTACTCGTGGTTCTGTCCTTAAGCCAAGGCGTGAAAGGTAGAACTGTTTGAGGGTTTGGCCCGAAATCAATTCTATTTAATTTAATTTAATTCAATTATTGTTTTATTATTATTTCCTTGAAGTTACTAACTCGTTAATTATTTTATCGTTGCAAGCAAACAGAATCAAAGTAAGAATTATGTTCCTTTTATTTCTATTATTTTTCTAACGATTTTATATTGTTGAAATTATTATTAAATTGCTTCCAATATTAATGTTTGTTCTATTATTATTTTTTATCACTATATTGCATGTTTAAAGGGAATATGTAATTGAAAATCACGACTAATAAGATAATTTGGATGACCGGTTTAGGTTCTTTTTAATCTTGTTGTTTAATCAAGTGATCACAATAGTTTAGAATTATGTGTTGCATTAATATTCAACCAATTTAGCTAAATAACAGTTTGGAGCAAATTGAATTTTTGTTTGCATGCCTTTGAGATCGCAAGAATCATTTTTCACTATAAGAATCGAGTAGAGGCCAATACGGGCGAATGTGACTCCATGACTCACTTCGTACCATCATCCCCGATCCTCCTTTCGTGGTTCCGAACCATATGGAGTTAGTAATCTCATGGATTATGAATGGGGTGTAACCTTCACGGGTTAATCGTTGTTGCCTATCGTTGTCCCTTATCGTGGTTGCCTTTTTATGATCCGTGAACGGTTTACAAGTTCCTTATTAACTTGTTGGCAGCTCCCCACTTTCCTTGTCCCTAATCGTATTATGTCAATTCCCACTTCCTATGAGTGCCAAGCATATTCACGCATGCTTTAACGTAGGCGCACTTCAAACTACGCCTACAATTTGGCGACTCCACTAGGGAGGATTCTTGGTTATTTATCAATTTGCGTGATCGATATTGAATTAAGATGAGTTGATGAGACTTGAAAGATTCTTGAAAAATATTCCTGTGATTAATTTG